AAAAGAAACCAAGAGTTTGGGGACCAGGGAGATGGCTCAGTAGAATAAGCACTTGCCTGGCAAGCACAAGGACCTGAGTTCAATCCCTGGTTCCACACACAAAAAAAACTGATAGTTTGGTCCTAAAATATATGAGAGTATGCAATTGTCAAACAGTTCTTTAAAATGAAGAACAAGCTGGGTGTGGTGGTGCACACTTGTAACTACAGCACTCAGAAGGCTGAGGCAGGAGGATCACTATGAGTTCAAGTTCAGCCTTTGAGGCCGGGAGGTGGTTCAGCAGAATAACCACTTCCCTGGCAAGCATGAGGGCCTGAGTGCAATCCCCAGTCCCACCAAAAAAAAAAAAGAAAGAAAAGTCCAGCCTTTGCTAACTACACAGGGAGTTCAAAGCCAGCATGAACTACACAGTAAGACCATGTCTTAAAAAAAATTGCCAAATGCTTTTGTTTGCAACCCTATTCACAGCTGGAATTTGCTTTAAAATACTGTAACAAAAGGGTGAGGAGAGAGTGGTTAATATTATTTTAATGAAATGAATTAGGGCTTGGAATGAAATGGGGCCTGAAATGGAATTTAGTAATTGTCCAGCATGCACAAGGCCCTTGATTTCAACCCCAGCATAGCCAAGTAAAGTAAATGTAGAAGTTCTTAAATAAAATAGATAGCAGCAGTACCTACTTGTTCAGCCAATACCAGCTCATCTTTTGTATGCCTTCTGTGCCGGCTCAGGCATGCTAGTACATGCCTGTGCCAGCTGCTGCTGCTGCTGCTGCTGTAACAACTCTGTGAGCTCAGGCCAGCCGAGGTCACTTAGTCTCCAAATAAGAAAGGCTGGGGATCTAGCTCAGCACTCACTGGATTCAGTCCCCAGGATCACTAACACAACAGGCGCAGCTTTTGGTCCTAGCATTTGACCTCATGCTAGCCAGAGCTTGTAAAATTTGTGGTGTTCTAGATTTGCAAAGTACACACAGATCCACAAGAGCTCACATACACAGTGTGCTCTTAACACTTTGCAGCGGGAGTCACTATGTTCCTCCTCCACAGCCAGCCTCTCTTTCTCTCTGTGAACAGCTGTCTGCCCCTTCTTCAGTGTAAAGGTCCCAGAGGGTAGAGCTGCTTGCGAAGGATGTGAAATGTCATGTTTCTAATATGCACGCGTTTACTGAGAAAGGTATGTGATATAGTAAAAATGTGTTCTTCTTTTGTTTATTCATTATTTTTCCTTTCTCCATTTTCAGTACATGTACTAGCCTTAGCAAGTTCTGTTCCAAACTCAGGCACCTAGACTTGGCTTCCTGTACATCGATAACAAACATGTCTCTCAAAGCTCTGAGGTAAATTTCTTGTTATAAGCATGTCCATTAGTACATACTTTTATAGACTGATACAGAGTTGGGATTGACATCAACCTTGTTTTATAGATATATACTGTAGTTTTGAATAGATCTCTAATTTTATCACTGTCCAATTTATAGTTAGAGGAAATATTCAAGTAAAATGATTTCCAGTAATTGGAGTTGCTGAACAGCACAGCAGTTTATTCATAAATCATCTTGTATTTTTTAGTCCTTACTAATGTAATTATTTAAGTACAGTGTGACAAATTTGCATTTTTTGGTTAATTTTATAATGTAATACAAGATATAAAACAAATTTAGGGCTGGGGAGATAGCTCAGCAGTCTTAAGTGCCTGCCTGGCAAGCAGAACGATCCAGGTTTGATCCCCAGTACCACATGCCAAGCTGGCTCCTTGCCAAGCCAGCTACCGAAACCAGGGATGGTGGTACATGCCTGTGATCCCAGCACTAGGGAAGGTGAGACAGGAGGATCACTGTGAGTCCAAGCTATCTAGCGAGACCCTGTACCAAATGAATAAAAAGATTTTTTAAAAAATTTTATCAGATTTATTTAATATAAGAATCCACTGGGGGCCGGGGAGATGGCTCAGTAGAATAAGTACTTGCCTGGCAAGCACAAGGTCCTGAGTTCAATCCCCAGTTCTGCCCCCCCAAAAAAAAAGAATATATTTATGGGGGCTGGTGAGATAGCTCAGTGGTCTAAAGCACCTCCTTAGAACAAGCTTAGCAAAGCACAGGGACCGCGGTTCAATCCCCAGCACCACATGCCAGCCAGCCCCACCCCCTGGTGGGCTGAGCTGGCCACACACACACACAAATAAAAAATAAATAAAATTTTTAATAAATAAAAATTAAAAGAATCCACTGGGGCCTAGGGAGATAGCTCAGTAGAATAAGAGCCTGCCTGACAAGCTCAGGGTCCTGAGTTCAATCCCAGGTACCACAAAAAAAAAAAAAAAAAAGAATCCACTGATTAAAATGATACCTGCTAGGGGGCCAGGGAGATGGCTCAGTAGAATAAGCACTTGCCTGTCAAGCGTAAGGGTCTGAGTTCAATCCCCGGTTCTTCCTAAAAAAAAGATATCTGCCCAAGTAACATTAAGGATAGGCAGTATATAAACAAATGTGCTGCCCAAGTGACGCAAGTAAGCTGGTAAGTGATTAAAGTCCTTTATAGTTACAAAAAATACTTTTCTTCTTTCCTTGAGCTCCCCTTGTAGCCCATCCTGGCCTCAGACTCACAAGGATCCTCCTGCCTCAGCCTCCCAACTGCTGGGATTATAGGCATGTACAACCACACCTAGCTAGAAGATAGATCTTAAAAGGGAGAGAAAATGCCCATTTTCTTTCTTTCTTTTTCTTTTTTTTTTTTTTTGGTACTGGGGTTCAAACTCAAGATCTCATGCTTGCCAGGCAGGCATTTATGCCACTGAGCTATCTCCGTGGCCCCCAGGAAACTTACTTTTTCAACCAGGTCTTTGATAAATTGATATGGTCCCCTCATTGGTTTTACTTACATGTGTTAAGAGTTACGCTGTTCAGGCCGGGCATGGTGGTACACACCTACAGTTCCAGTACCGATAGAGGCTGAAGCAGAATTGCTGTGAGGTCCAGGCGAACCTGGGCTTTAAAGTAAGTTCAAGGCCAGCCTGAATGCCATAATAAAACCTTGTCTCAAAAAGAAAATAAATAAGTAAATAACAAGTTAAGCTGTTTAAAAAGAAGCAAGAAATTTAAAATATTTAAAACTAAGCAGGGAGCGGTGCTATACACCTGTAATCCCAGCTCTGGGAGGCTGCACCAGGAGGATCACTGTGAGTGTGAGGCTACCTAAACTGTACAGTGAGACCCCATCTCAGAAAGCAAGGCAAGGATCAGGTGAGACAGCTCAGCAGCACGGCACCTGGTCAGGAGTTGTTTTCCTGGTGCCAAAAAGCAAAAGGTAGATTTACATAGAATGTATAAAAATAGGGTTCCTGTATTTATTTATTTCCATATTTATTTTAAATGTGGCTCCTTTTAAACCTCGTGAAGTGTCTGCCTGGTAAGAACAAGGTCCTGAATTCCATTTCCAGCACTAAAAAATAAAAGTTGGAAAATAAAAATAAACCTTCCTTGTGAATACTGCCCACATACAAGTCAAAGGACTTTGCCAAATAGGATAAATATAACAACTTTTATCATTTATAAATTATCTTCATATACATTATCTCATTTATCTAAGTAGCCAGAACAGACATTTCTTCAAAGCTGTCAAGTGCCCAGGAGTATTTGTACAACCATAAGACTATAGCTGGGCGTGGTAGCACGTGCCTGCGATCCCGGCACTCAGGAGGCAGAGGCATTGCTGAGAGTTGGGGCAGCCTGGGCTACAGAGTGAACTACGGCGAGACCCTGTCACAAAACCCAAAAACAAAACAACCATGAAAATATAAAAAGCTTGGCATTCATCAGTATTTCAGTTATGACACTAAATTGATAAAGGTAGAAGGGATCAAAGGTGAAGCTAGTATTGTACAGGCAGAGATTAGCTGGATGTCATCTTATATGTGTATGATCCTAGCACTCTGGGAGGCTGAGACTGGAGGACTGCAACTTTTAGTCCAGCCTGGACAGCTTAATAAGAACCTGTGTCAAAGCCAGGTGAACGGTTGCATTTCCATACACCAGGCACCTCTGCACTGCTGATGACCCGTGGAAGCTAAAGCTACCCAGCCATCTGCGGGTCCCCAGGGTAGCTGCTGCAGCAGGCGTGGCTCTGGGCTCTGCTGTTGGGTGTGCACTGGGTCCTGCTGTTCCTGGGTGCTTTCGGTAGAGGAGATCATGTTGAGTCCCCGCCAAGAGCCTCAGGGACCTGAGCTGGAGCCGAAGCAGCAGTCTCACTGCCCTTGTTTTTATGCAGTCAGACGTTTTTTGGAGTGTGTCCAGAAGCAGGGTGACATCAGGCTCTATGAAGTCGTCAATGGAGTGCTGAGACAGTGCAAAACTGCAGAGATTAAATGGGGTGTTTCGGAGGAAGAACTGGGAAATCAGCTCTGACTGTTAACTTTGCCATGAAAGTGGAATGAATGAGTGACGTATAAAACCTTAAGCCTCTCAAGCCAGGGAGATGGCTTAGTAGAATAAGCACTTGCCTGGCAAGTGCAAGGGTCTGAGTTCAATCCCCGGTTCCACAAAAAAATAAATAAATAAAAAATAAAGTTGTTTTAGGGACAAGGGAGATGGCTCAGTAAAATAAGCACTTCCCTGGTAAACGCAAGGGCCTGAGTTCAATCCCCAGTTCCACCAAAAAAAAAAACCTTAAATCTCATGAATAGCTTCATTGCTTCAGAATGGCAGTGGAAAAGGATATTGTATGTGGAAGCTCAGTGAGCTGGTGTAGAATTTTTAGGGTAGGTGTTTCATTTGCCTCCTTAAACTGATTGCTGTGATGTTACTGCCCTTGGGTTAGAATAAAGGGATTAAAATTAATTTAGAATAAAGGGATTTTCTTCCCTGGAGTTCAGGCCCTACATGTGATCAGGCACAAAACTCATTCTCTAGTCCCATAAGTAAACAAATTTAATTTTATAAGTGAAGGTTTTTAAATTCTCATGACTGCTTTTTTGACACCTAATAGAATTACTTGATGGGGAACCTGAGTTGAATCTTGAACTGTTTAATTGTTTTATAAAATGGAGTAAGTCCATTTCAGTTTGTGTCTTTATCTGAGAAACACGATTATGCCTTGTGTGTTCTGCTCAGGCTGGGTGTGAGCTGAGCCTGCGGGTGCCTTGGGAGGGGGAGATAACGACCTGTGTGTCTTGTGTGTTCTGTTCTAAGCGAGGGGTGTCCGCTGCTGGAGCAACTGAACATTTCCTGGTGTGACCAAGTAACGAAGGATGGCATCCAAGCTCTAGTGAGAGGCTGCGGGGGGCTCAAGGCCTTATTCTTAAAAGGCTGCACACAGGTAATGCTCCATATAGCACTTGTCACAGGTCAAAAAATGTGAGTTCTGCCGCCATTACTGGGATGTGCGTCTTGGGGGCAGTGTGCGTTGTGTGTACTACAGACCAAAGAGGTGCACTTCCCAAGAGTTCAGGCATTTTCCTTAAAATGAAGGAATGAGAATTAACATCTCAGGGCCTGGAAAGCACAAGGTCCTGAGTTCGACCCCTGGTACCACCAAAAAAAAAAAGAATAAAAAATTAGCCAAGCTGAGAATTAACGTCTAACCAAAAGCAGATTGGAGGCAGAGGCAAAGTGGGGAGATGAGCTCATACTGAGGAAACACAACAGTAAAAGAAGGGTTCATGCAGGATTTAGTCTGTACTGAAAAGAAAGTTTCTGCCCAAAGTTATGGTGGACTCCTGTGATTCTGGAACTTGGGAGGCTGAAGCAGGAGGATCACTGTGAGTTTGAGGCCCACCTGTACAGTGATATTCTGTGTCACACAAGCAAAACAAAAAATAATAGCCAAAAATAATAGCTTTTGGTTACTATTTGGATCGTGAGAAATACTGATAAGAATGCACAGTTATGATTCTGTTCTTAGTGGTGTAAATAAGGCAGGATCTTTCAGCAGCAAGTAAATTCTCTGAATTCTGGGGCGCAAGGGCCTGAATTCAATCCCTGGTTCAAAAAAAAAAAAATGCTCTGAATTCTGTTCCTGTCTCCTCCCAAAAGTTTCTTAAAAGGGCTGGCAAGATAGCTCAGCGGATTAAGTGCCTGCTTTGGCAAGTTCAGGACCAGGGTTTGATCCCTGGTCCAGCATCCCTAGCCAGCCCTGCCCCTGGGGTCACTGAGCTGGTGACCAGGTCCAGGTGTGGTGGTGCACGCCTGTAATCCAGGCACTGGGGAGGCTGAAAGTAGGAGGATCACTACGAGTCCGAGCTGAGCTGCGTCGTGAGACCCTGTACCAAATGCATAAAATACAAGAAGTAAAATCCATAAACTTGGCAATACTTATTTTATCTTTGACTATAATACGAACTTGATGTGATTTTGAGCTGATTCTTCGGCTGGGTGTGGTGGCACATGCCTGTAGTAATCCCATCACTCAGGAGGCTGGCACAGGAGGATCCCTGTGAGTTCAAGGCCTGCCCAAATTGCATAGTGAACTTGTCTCCAGAAGACAAAAAGAAAAAGTACCTAATCTTTAAAAGTACTGATAACCGTGCTATTGATATGAGTTATGTTGTTGCGTGTTCATAATTTATTATTTGTGGTTCTTTGTCCTTTAAGCCTTGGTTGGCTTGCCAGTAACCATTTTTTTTTTCTTTCAATCTTTGTAGCTAGAAGATGAAGCTCTCAAGTACATAGGTGCACATTGTCCTGAGCTGGTGACTCTGAACTTGCAGACTTGCTTAGTAAGCATCCTTGCCACAAGGCTTTTTTGTTAGTAATTTCTTGAGTGTTAAGATGTTACTGTACCTTTTATGACTGTAAGCTTTTCCACAGCAATCATAGGGACACAGAACACTCACACATGGCTCTTGTCTTCTTGAAAAGTAGAGAGTTGGTTTTTCTGTTTTTTTCTGGTTTTTGGTACCAGAAATTGAACTCAGGACCTTAGGCTTACCAGGCAGGTGCTGTGCCACTGAGCTGTATCCCCAGCCCTGGAGTTGTTTTCATGAGACAAGGTCTCGCTATGTAGTTCAGGCTGGCCTTGAACTCTCAATGTAGTCCAAGTGGGTTCTGAATTCATGGCGATCCTCCTGCCTCAGTCTCTCAAGTGCTGGGATTACAGGTGTGTGCCACTACACTGGCAGATGACTTTTACTTAGTTTATTCTTGTTTTGTTTTGAGACAGGATCTTCTGTATAATTCAGGCTGCCTTGAACTCACTGTGTAGCCCAGGTTGGTCTTGAATCTATGGTGATTCTCCTGCCTCAGCCTCCCAAGTGCTGTAGCAACAAACGGGTGCTACCATGGCTTTTGACTTTTACCTGCTTAAGAAGATCTGTCTGATTAGCCAGAGATGGTGCCACATACCTGTTACCTGAGCTGTTTGAGAAGTTGGGGGTTGGAGAATCCTAAGTTCATGACCTACCTGAGTAACTTGGTGAGATCCTGTCCCAAAAAATAAAAAGGGCCGGGAGGTGGCTCAGTAGTAAAAAGAAACATCCATGGTTCGACACTGGAAAGCCACCGTGCCCAGCACTTACATTTTTGTTTCTGTTTTTTGTTTTGTTTTGTTTTTCTTTTAGTCTCCACTTTCCGCTCTGATGATTATAGTTTTCTCCCTCGTACAAACTTTTGACTTAGCCTGCTCTTCTTTTTCTAGAAGCTTGAGGGTCACCGTTAAATTGTTTATTTATGCTTGTTCTGTTTTCCTGATATGAGTTTTGTCTGCTATAAACTACCCTCTTAGGACTGCTTTCATTGTGTCCCATAAGTTCCAGTATGTTCTATTGCATTATCATTTATTTGTAGAAATTGTCTTAATTTATTCTTTAATTTCATCTGTGACCCATTGATTGTTCAGTTCAGAATAATTTCCATGTGTTTATGCAGGTCTTGTGGTTTCTTTTGCCATTGATTTCGAATTTCATTGCACTGTTGTCTGATAATATCCGTGGGATAATTTCACTTCCTTTACATTTACTTAAGCATGTTCTGTGAGCTAGCGTGTGGTCTATTTTGGAGAACATTCCATGTGGAGCCAAGAAGAATGTGTATTCTGATATTGTGGGGTGGAATACTTTGTAGACAGCTACTAAGTCCATTTATTCAAAGTTTAGTTCAGTTCTAATATTTTATCATTAATTTTTTGTCCAGTTGATCTGTCTTTTTGTGATAGTGGGGGATCTCAATACTGCTTTGTCATGGAAGTATCTTATTTCTCCATCAGTCTCGAAGATAGTTTTGGAGGGGTACATCAATACAATTATGTTAGTGTTTATTTGGTTTTTCATGCCCGTTAATATTTGTTTTATATAGTTGGGTGCACTGGTATTCGTTGCATATTTATTTATGGTTGTTACCTCTTCCTCTTAGGTTGTTTCATTTATAAGGATGTAGTGACATTCTTTATCTCTGTTCATCAGTCTTTGCTTGAAATTGACTTTGTCTGCAAATAGAATATCTATCCCAGCTTTTTTCTGGGTTCCTGTTGCATGAAGTATTTTCCACCCTTTGACTTTCAGTTTATGAGTTTCTTTTTGAGTTAAATGTGTCTCGTATGCAGTGCGTTGTTGCATCTCGCACCCTCGTGCACTCTGCCAGTCAGTGTCTTTTCATCGGTGAGGTGAGACCACTAACGTGGGTGGTTATAACTGGTATATATTGTCATGTTATTTTCCTGTTGTTATCTCTTTCTAGACTATCCTCTAACTGTCTTTCCAAAGCATTTTGGAGGGTCATATATTTCTTCACATGTTCTTTGTCATGGAAGTATCTTATTTCTCCATCAGCCTCAAAGATAGTTTTGGAGGGGTACATCAATCTGGGTTGAAGATTGTTTTCCTTTAGAACTTGAAATACTTGACTCCAAGCTCTCCTTGACTTGAAATTTTGTGCTGAGAAATCAGCTGTGATTCTGACGGACTTTTCTTTATGGGTTATTTGAGTATTTTCTCTAACAGCTTTGAGGGGTGTGTGTGTGTGTGTGTGTGTAACCGAGGATTGAACTCAGGCTCTTGTGCTTGCCAGGGAAGCACTTATTCCACCATCTCCCCGGCCCCTAAGGTTTTATTCCTATTTTGAATTTTTGGAATCTGGACTATAATATGCCTGGCTAGATTTTTTTGGTTTTGGTTTTGGTTTTTTTTGGTGGAACTGGGGATTGAACTCAGGCACTTGAGCTTGCCAGGCAAGAGCTTATTCTACTGAGCCATCAACCGGGCCTCTGTTTTTGTTGTTGTTGCTGTTTTGGGGTTTTTTAAATATTGTTTATGGGGGCCGGGGAAATGGCTCAGTAGAATAAGCGCTTGACTGGCAATCGCAAGGATCTGAGTTCAATCCCCAGTTCCGCAAAAAAAAAAAAAAAAAAAAAACCACGATGTATGTGGTTAAATATTGTTTATGCTATCTCCTGCTTTTTACTGTTTTTTCTTTTTTCTTTTTTTTTTTTTTTCTTTTTTTTTCCTGAAACTGGGAATTGAACTCAGACCCTTGCACTTGCCAGGGAAGCACTTATTCTACTGAGCCATCTCCGTAGCTATCTCCTGCTTTTTAATTGATTCAAACAAACTTTTAAGTTATTCTTTCCCTTATCTAGCAGCTCCTGGATTGATTTCTCATGGTCTTTGCTATTTTTAAGAATTCTTTCTGGGGCCTGCCCCTTAGCTCAATTCTTTAAGTGGCTGCTTCAAAAAAGCAGTCAGGCTCAGGTTTCTGTGGTTCGATCCCCACAACTCAAGCCAGCCAAACCTGCCCTGAAGGCATTCGGAGCAAAAAAAAAAAAAAAAAATCTTTCTGCTCCGCATGTGCTGGGAGGCTGAGGCAAGAGATCTGTTTTGTTAGCCTGGGCTATAGAGTGAGCTCCAGGCCAGCCTGAACTGCATAGTGAGACCCTGTCTCATAAAGACAAAAAGGAAAAAGAAGTTTATTTTCATGATCACTAACTGCAAGCCTGTCTTCTATATCTGAGACCCTGTCTTCACATTGGCTTGATCTGCTGTAAATACTTTCAACTGAATTTGTATTCTCCTGTATATCTTCTTGAAACTGCCATATGGATTTCATTTCTTTACTATGTTGAGCCTTCATGGCTTCCATAATTTTCTTAAGCTCCTTTGTGTTTTGGTCTGTATCTGCTCTAGCATGGTATTCATTTTGGATACCATCTCTGCAGTTATCTGAGAAATCATTTCTGATTTAATTTTTTTCTAGTGCCTCATTCAATTGCTTTGTTGTTACCACATCAGAGAGGCCAGGTATGCCTGGCAAGCTCAGGGTCCTGAGTTCAATCCCTGGTACCACAAAAAAAAAAAAAAAAAAAAAAAAAGAGGCCAACTAGGTAGTCTTTCATTTGTCCCACTTCATTGCCCCTGGGTTTGCCTTTGGTGAACTGGATGTCTGGGGTTTTATCTTGCTCTTTTTTTTTAATCTTGTCTTCTCATTTTCTTTTCTTTTTTTACTTTAATTCCTAGGGTGATGCTTGTAAGTTACCTGTTGCAGGTTGCTTTATTGCTACTATTTGGAAACCTTAGGAAATTACTACTCCGAGATACCTTCCTGGTGTAGCTGGCTTTAGGGTTTTGAGTCTGTTGCAAGTTCCTACATCTTCAATTTGTTTGGGATGAGAAGTTGCTGCCTGTTAGGCCCAGCCCCTGGTTCTCTGGCTGTGTGCCACAGTATTTTCTATGACCCTTAGTCAATCTCAGTCTTAGAATACCGAAAAGAACAACTGTTTAGAACAATTACTTCACATTTGGCTATAGTGGCAACATTAACAATGACAATAGCATTGAACACAGCCTAGAAAATGTCAAACTGAACTGAACATTAATTTGCCACCCTTAACAGTATGTGCTAGTTTTGTGGTTATGTGACAAAATCCGAAACAAACCAAAAAATTATATGCAGTATACAAGTCCTTTATATGTCAATTTTGCCCTTATGGGTTAAAATTTTAAATGAGTTAGGGAAAAACTGGAGAAGTGGAAGAAGAAGAGATTAAAAGTAAGGCTGGGGTCCAAAGGGGGATCACATTAAATTTGGGAAACCGGTACAGGAGATTGGAAGGTAAGAGAGAAAGAGATAAAAAGAACACAAACCACAAAGAAGCTAGAAAACAAGTTCACACTCATAAAAACAAGATCAGGGCCAGCCAGATAGCTCAGTGGATTAAACTGCCTGCTTCAGCAGAGTGCAGCAGCCTGGGTTCAATCCCCTGTGTGCATGCCAGCCCCACCCCCCAGTGGTGCACTGAGAGGCAATTGAGACTGGGCGTGGTGACCCACATCTATAATCTCAGCCCTTGGGAGGCTGAAAACAGGAGGATCACTGTAAGTCTGATCTGTGTAGTGAGACCCTGTACCAAATACATAAAAAAATAATAGTAAGGGGCCGGGGAGATGGCTCAGTGGAATAAGCGCTTCCCTGGTAAGTGCAAGGGCCTGAGTTCAATCCCCGGTTCTGCAAAAAATAAATAAAATAATAATAATAATAATAATAATATAATATCAAACAATAAAGGAGCGGAGAAGAAACATAGCAGCAAAAAAAGAAAAAGAGCAAGAAAAAAAGCCCACTTCTAGATTGGTCTCTGCTATCTGCGTTAAACTGTCTTGTGGAGACAGTCCAGATCCCTGCCTATCTATCTCAGCAAGCCAACAGTGGCTTTTTGGAGGGGTAGTGGATGATCTTAGCAAGTCTACACCTGCTGGTCTGAGACCAGACTGACTCAGCCTGCAGCCAAAAGCGCATCTTGCGCAGGCCTCTCTAGGCTGGGAGCCCCTAGATGGAGCCAGCAGCCACTCTGAGTTCTGAGCTAGCCGGCATCTCTTCAGGATAGTTCCCAGCCACTCACTCTCGTGCACATGGAGCAACCGATTCCTCAGCACTCACAGCCAGCTAGTGCATCCTTTGCGTCCTCTGCGCCCCTCCACTTCTGCTCTCTCCATGGAAGCCCGTGGGGTCACCAGCAGTCACCTTGTGTCCACAGGTTTGAACTGCTCCTCTGTGCACTGAGTCCAGTCTTAGAGAGAAGGTACCCCCAGCTTCCTCCTCCTCCTTCGCCAAAGTTGCTGTCTTCGCTGTCTCCATTGGGCCTTCCTGGGTCCAGGGGACCCACCTCCCTCCTTGTCCTTCCGCACTGCTGTATTCAGGTCTGGACAGCGAATCTCAGGCTCTTTCTCTGCTGCTCGCCACTGCGCCATCTTGGTACTCAGTCAGTGATAGCATCAGAGGAGGTTTTTGGATTTTTTTTGTGGAACCAGGGATTAAACTCAGACCCTTGTGCTTGCCAGGCAAGTGCTTACGCTACAGAGCCATCTCCCCATCCCTTTCAAAGGCGCTTTTAAGCCTTCACAAAACTGGTAAATCTGAGCTGGGCATGGTGATGGAAGGGTGAGACTGGAAGATTGTTTGAAGTTGGAGACCACCCTGGGCTACAAAGTGAGCTTAAGAGGAGCCTGAACTACATAGACCCTGTCTCAAAAAGACCAAAAAAAAAAAAAAATTTTGTGAATAGAACAGGATACTTTGTGCTGATGTTAAAACTGGGTTTGGTGGCACATGCCTTTAATCCTGGTACTTGGGAGGATGAGATAACGAGATAGCTGTGAGTTTCAACCCAGGCTGGAATATATATAGCAAGACCCTGTCTCAAAGACCAAAAAAAAATCCCCCAAGTCTTTATGTAATGTTGTACTATATATTTTTGCATTCTTTTTTATTTTGTTTTATTTAAAAGAAATTTAAGAGCCAGACGTGGTAGCACACACTGGTCACCCCAGCACTGAGGAGGCCGTGGCAAGTAGATCATTGGGAGTTCAAGACCAGCCTGAGCTGCATAGTGAGGCCCTGTCTCAAAAAGACAATAAAATGAAATAAATTTAACCTGTCTTACCAGCACTTGAGAGGCTCAAGCAGAAGGATCACTGCAAGTTCCAGTCTGAACTATGTAGCAAGATCCTATCTCGTTCAATCCCTGGATCTTCAAAAAAAAAAAAAAATCCTGTCCATGGGGGGCCACGGAGATGGCTTAGTAGAATAAGTGCTTCTCTGGCAAGTGCAAGGCCCTGAGTTCAATCCCCAGTTCTGGGGGGAAAAAAAAAAATCCTGTCTCATAAACCTCAAGTAAGTTTAAAATGGTTTTTGTTTTTTTTGTTTTTTGTTTTTTGTTTTTTGTTTTTCTTGTACAGAAATCAGACTCTAGGACTGAGGAGTTAGCTCAGCAGCCTAAGTGTCTGCCACGGCAAGGGCAAAGACCTAAGTTCAATCCCCGATACTGCATGCCATGCCTGCTCCAGAACCCCAGGCGAGCTATGCTAGCCACTAAAATTGGGCATGGTGGTGCACACCTATAATCCCAGCACTGGGGAGGCTGAGGCAGGAACATCACTACAAGTCCAAACTGCATAGCACGACACTGTATTTAATAAATAAAAATATTTTTTTTAAATCAAACTCTAGACCTTGTGCTTGCCAGGCAGTTGCTGGGCTGCTGAGCTGTATCTTATCCGTGACCCAGCCCATTGGTTTGGTTGTTCGTTTCTGAGGCAGGTTCTTACTGTGTAGCTCAGGCTGTCCTTAAGCTCTTCGTGATCCTCCTGCCCGTAGCCTCCTAAGTACTGGGCTGACAGGCATGTACCACCACACCCCGCTAAAATTTATTTATATTTATTTGGGATTTTTTTTTTTTAGAAGCTTTCTTTTTCTTTTTATTTATTTATTTATTTATTTGTGTGTGTATGTGTGTGTGTGTGTGTGTGTGTGGCCAGCTCAGCCCACCAGGGGGCGGGGCGGGCTGGCCTGTGGTGCTGGGGGATTGAACTGTGGTCCCTGTGCTTTGCTAAGCTTGTTCTAAGTAGGTACTTTAGACCACTGAGCCATCTCACCAGCCCTGTTTGGGTTTTTTTGAGACAGGGTGTCACAATGCAGTTCAGGCTTCTCTTCAGCTCACTTTTTTTTTTTTTTTTTTTTTTTTAAGTATTTCTTTCTTTCTTTCTTTTTTTTTTTTTAAGATCATTATCTGTCTATTTATTTTTATTTTGTGTGTGTGTGTGGCCAGCTCAGCCCACCAGGGGGTGGGGCTGGCTGGCATGTGGTGCTGGGGATTGAACCGCCGTCCCTGTGCTTTGCTTAGCTTAGCTTGTTCTAAGTAGGTGCTTTAGACTACTGAGCCATCTCACCAGCCCCTTCAGCTCACTTTTGTAGTCCAGGCCGGTCTCGAACTTGCAATGATCCTGCTGTCTCAATCTCCTGAGTGCTGGAATTACAGGCATGCACCACTACACCCAGCTAAAGTAATTTTTTTTTTTTTTTTTTTTTTCCTGTCTTTGAAACAGGGTCCTTACTGTGCTGTTCAGGTTGGCCTTGAATACACTTTGTAGCCCAAGCTGGCCTCGAACTCACAGTGATCCTCCTGCCTCTACCTCTAGAGTGCTGGGATTACAGACATGCGCCACCATGCCCGGCCAATAATTTTTAAACAGTGCAAAATTCTATATCTAGGTAACCACAACTATTTTATCTCCTTAAGTTTTGATAACATGTTATTCATGTTAATGTCATTCTGTTAGGTCATAAGAGAAATTGAATGTGGTAAGATGGCAAATATTATCCAGGTTTTTTTTTTAATTTCACTAACAAGCTTATATTCAAACTTGTAAATATATTTTACTACTCAAATACTGCTATTGCCTGTTTTCCAGGTTTTTTTTTTTTTCAAAGTTTTATTGACAAACAGATAGCAATGAGACAGTTTCAAATCAAATCGGAAGGACAGTTTCAACAATTAATACACTGCATATATTCTTCTTAGTGGTTAATTGCTGTACAAGATGCGGACTTGTGATCCTATTTACAAACACCATTAGAACAAATCATTCTATTCATTAAGAGAATGCAACTATATATCTATCCCAACCTCTTTGAATACACAGATACAAAATGGACATTCATCGTTATACCCCATTTTTTCTAAGTTCCGTTATTGAATATTATAGGTGTGTAAACTCAGCAAAATATTCTAAAAGAGTCCAGTAGCCTATAATAGCATTGGGTCTTATATTTAACTGGCAATGTCAGAAATTATTGACCTGAGTCCCCCACAGCTCAACTTAACAGCATGGCTTTATTTCTTATATTTCGACTTCATACTATTCTACTGGATGGTTAAGACCAAGGTAAAGCAGGACCTATGCAACAAGAGTTGTAGCTTTTTGGTCCGAGAAGGTCAGTGAAATGCCCTCAGGATTTGTCCTGAGATCCTGTACCTCAGATTGTAGAACCTTCATCAGTGCAGCCATGTGGATGAGTCACGGCCATTGCTTGGCCAATGTGCTCTCTGTGAAAGCCTGAGAGTGTCTTCTCCCCATGTGACTCTCCTTAGGCACACTCTACGTCATCGATCACTTTCCTCTTTGGCCCCATAATCTTCTTGATCAGAAAATTTGGGACACTATCAAGGTACATGACGTTACAGTACAAGTTCTCATATGTCCTGAGTCTTAATTGACCTTAGAAGGTTAGGGCCAAAATGTTGGCTTTCCTTGTATCCTTCCTTTTTCTCTAATTTGGTCTGCAAACTTAGGTTGTTAACCATCCAGAAGAAAAGCTTATTGTTATTATCAAACGATTTGGGCTATCAATCTTAACCTCACTATCTCACTGCATTTCAAACATCTTAGGCATAATAAGAAACAGGTATTTTTCATCAAGTATTGATATGTTGAACTTTTTAAGTCCCTACATAATATGATAAAAAACATTTAAAAATTAGATTATATTTTAAAAAATAGGATAAAGAATTCTATGCTTCTCATGTTTGCACATAAGTCCAAAAATCTTGTTTTCCAGGTTTTAATACCAGTTAAGTTGAATCCACACCCAGACATGTCCTGTGTTATTCCCAGTCTCATAAGGTTAAAAGAATTTTCATTCTCCATTAAAAAAAAAAAATTCATTCTAGGCCGGGCGTGGCGCATGCCTGTAATCCCATCACTCAGGAGCCTGAGGCTGGAGGATACTTGGAAATTTGAGACCACCCTGGGCTATAAAGTGAACTCAGGGCCAGCCTGAACTGCATAAGACAGAAAAAAATAAATACATTCTAGCATCCTTTAACCAGAATGGAGCACAGATTCCTTACAGACATTAAAAAGAAGGAAAAAGTGTGTTCCATTTCTTTCAGCTGATAAGTCAGCCATCTGATTGTTACTAAATTTGCCTGGATTTCTTTTTTGTGCTTTTTCACAGAAGTTTTTTTCCCCCTTTTTATTCTGCTGAGTTACTGATATCTGTTTGTTGTTTTTAGCAAATCACCGACGAGGGTCTTATTACCATCTGCAGAGGCTGCCATAAGTTGCAGTCCCTCTGTGCCTCCGGCTGCTCCAACATCACAGATGCCATCCTGAACGCGCTGGGTCAGAACTGCCCTCGGCTTCGGTAAACGTGTCTTATATAATTAAAAACCATCAAGGAAGATGAACAAAAGCCTCCTGTGCCCAGCTTACTTCTTGGAACTTTAACATTATTTATCCTTTCGTGATTTCCATCTCAGAGACCTTTTTAGAGATCAGCTGTGAAGTCAGCTATGTGTGTAGCAGTGATGCTTGGTAGGTGGCGACATTTAGAAACAGCTCTGCAAACGGATCTCTTCTGCGGCTGTGGGCTTTTACAACAGCCCTGTTGCTCTGTGGCTCTTGCTCTCTGTTTGAATATGAGACTGGTTGAATATATTCTACAAATTCTGTTAGTGTGTATATAGTATCAGATCCTTACTGATTAAGTTTTTTGGGTTTTGTTTTTTTTTTTTTTGCTTGTTTGTTTGTTTTTGGTGCCAGGGATTGAACTCGGGATCATGCCCTTGCCAGACAGGCACTTATGCTACTGTGCTATCTCCCTGGCCCCTGATTTAAGTTTTTAATGAGTAGAAATTATCCTTGTGTACTTTCTTTTGTTGTAGTGGTGGGGTTTTCTTGTTGTTTTGTTGATGTTTAGATTTTTTTTTTTTTTTTTCAGAACTAGAGATGGAGCCCAGGTCCTTACACATGTTGGCCAAGCATTCCACCACTGACCTGCAACCCCAGCTTTTTTTTTTTTTTTTTTTAATGTACTTGGTTGTTGCAGGGTATCACCACGCATCTTGGACACGTGGTGATCCTCCTGCTTTCAGCCTCCCAGCACTGGGATTACAGGCATGTGCCACCACACCTGGACTCTCTCCAGGCTCAGCCTGCTCTGGAGGTGGGGCTGGCCCAGCATGTGGTGCCAGGGATTGAACCTCATTGCCTGTGCTTGCCTCAGCAGGCGCTTTAGTCTGCTGAGCTAGTTTGCCAGCCCCCAGCCTGAACAATTTAACAAGGCTTTATCTCAAAATTTAAAACTAAGTAACTGCCAGGGCTCTTCCCTTTAGCTGCCATTGCAGGATTGAGCGCAGCCAAAATGAAGTTTAATCCTGTGACTTCAGAAAGAAGCAAAAACTGTAAACAGCATTTCCGTGAGCCTTCCCACATTCGCAGGAAAATTATGTCTTCTCTTTCCAAAGAGCTGAGATAGAAATACAGTGTTTGCTCTACGCCCATCTGAAAGGATGAAGAAGTTCAGTTGTGCAAGGACACTGTAAAGGCCAGCAGCTTGGCAAAGTAGTCCAGGTTTACAGGCAAAAGTATGCCATCTTCACTGAACAGGACAGCGGGAAAAGGCAAATGGCACAGCTGTCCACATGGGCATTCACCCCAGTAAGTGGTTATCACCAGCTAAAACGAGACAAAGACCACAAAAAGATCCTGGAACGGAAAGCCTAGTCTTGCCAAGTAGGAACGGAAAAGGGCAAATACAGGGAAGAAATAATTGAGGAAATGCAGGAATAAAGTCCTCCATTAGGCTCGGGAGATGGCTCAGTAGAACAAGCATTTGCCTGGCAAGTACAAGGGCCTGAGTTCAATCCCCAGTTTTGTCAAAAAAACAAACACACACAAGAATAAAGTTCTTCTGTGTGCAACTTTTAATTAAAAACTGCTGAAGTGAAATAGATAAATAAATGCCTGCCAGGAATGCAGCTCAGTGGCACAAGGGCCTGCCTGGCAAGCACAAGGTCCTGAATTTGATTTGCCATACCAAAAAAAAAAAAAAGCAAAAAGGTATAAATAAATAAGGGCTGGACGGGGGCCAGGGAGATGGCTCAGTAGAATAAGGGTCTGAGTTCAATCCCTGGTTCCGCAAAAAAAAAAAAAACAGGGCTGGAGATGTAGCTAAATGTGGAGCACTCACCTTGCATGCGAGAGTGCCACAAATAAACACACATTGGGCGTGGCCTTAGGCTTTCTAAGTGTTAATTCATTTAACCCTCCTCATATGAGCATTGTCGTAGTTTCCGTATTATTGATGGGAAAAATCAAGACACAGAAATGTGAACTGACTACTCAAACTCTCAAGAGTCAGGAAGGCAGGAGCAAGAGCTCAAAGCCACGTTTTCTGGCTCCAGAGCTCCTGAAACCACTTTTCTTACATATAATAATCATTACAAAGTAAGAAAAAATTTTAAAAGCTGTTTTAATAATTTACTTGGTAATAAACCCAACCATAATTGTTGAAAGAACATTTGTCAGCAATATCAAAATTCCCAAGTAGAGCATATACTAGCTGGTCAGAGTTAGTGACACGAGAACCCTGTGGTGGAGTACTTACTACGCAAGAGCCAGAGAGGTAACCAGACCTCACTCTAAAGATACTGCACGTTTATTTTTCTACTGTAAAGGAAGGGGTCTTCAACTCCATCTTCTTCTCTGGTTATATTAGTAGGACAGAAAGGCTCTCAAATGTGACAATCCAAAGTTATGCTTTAGCTGGGTCTGGTGGCATATACCTATAATCCCAGCTCTTCATGATGTTCAGGGCAGTAGGATCATAAGTTTAAAGCCATCCTAGACAGCTCAGCAAGATCTTGTCTCAAAATACAATTTTCTTTTTTCTTTTTTTGGTGGTACCAAGGATTAAACTCAGGACCTTGCGCTTGCCAGGCAAGTACTTATTCTACTAAGCTATCCTCCTGGCCCTCAGAATATAATTTTAGGGACTGGGGAGATAGCTCAGTGACATAATCACCTGCCTGGCAGGTGCAAGGTCATGAGTTCAATTCCTGGTACAAAAAAAAAATTAATTTTCATACTTTATTAGTATGAATTTGTATGACCAAAATACAGTTTTATAAGGGAGTGAGGATGGGCCTCAGTGGTGGTGAACTCACCTCGTGTGCACAATCCCTGGATGCCATCCTTGGCACTGCAAAAGAGGAAAAGACCTGTTTTACTCAGCTCATCCTCTCCCACTGGCTGTTGCATTTATTCGTTTCTGATTGATTTCCAGCTCCTTTCTTATACTGTGGCTTGGGGGGAAGGTTAGTTTGGTTGGTGTTTATTTTGCGACAGTCTTGCTGTGTAGCCCATGCGTAGCAGTCCTTCCTACCTCAGCCTCCTGAGTGTCGCCATCGTAAGTGCTTGCCGCCACGCCTGCGTCTGGCTAGGTTTGTAACTTTGATACAGTAGGCAGCTTGTAAGCAAATAGCATCGGTTCTGTGGTGCCATCTTACACGTACAGATGTCGTCAGACTCCACAGACAGCAAGCGCTGGGGGTTTTGGTACGGGGGACGGAAACGGGACCTCATGCCGGTGAGCTGTCTCCCCAGTGAGGCACTTGAGACAGCAGCGTCTCACCAGGTCACTAACTTACCAAGCTGGGCTGGAAGTTGTGGTTTTTCTGCCTCGCCCACCCAGGGTGCTGGGAGCACAGGTGAACACTACCGCGCCTGGTTGAATGGAACTTTTTTTTTCTTCTGTATTTAGTACGGGGTCTGCACTATGTAGATCGGACTCATAGTGATTGTCCCGTTTTCAGCCTCCCGAGTGCTGGGTTTACAGGCGCATGCCAGCTCGCCCAGTCTCAAATGCTGTCTCAGCATGCCCTGGGGGCGGGGCTGGCACACTCACCACACACACCAGGGATCAAATCCTGGCTGCTGTGCTCTGCCTAAGCAGGCGCTGTAGTCTGCTGAGCTACCTGGCCGGCCCTGAATGGAGCTACTTTTGATTCCCTGGTCCCCTGTTTGGTATTTAGGTTGTTGGGAGCAGTTATTAGAAATTAACCCCAGAGCCTCTACAATGTCCCATCGTGTTTTAAGATAATCTTATAGTCACTAAATTCCTCAGATTGGATTCTAATTTGTGATCCTTGTGTCTCAGCCTCCCAGAGTGCTGAGATGACAGTGTGTGCTGTCACACCAGCTAGGTTCATTTTAGCTCTGGTTCCCTCTGCTGGGCATCCTTGGAGCTTGTAGGTGGAGGCAGGAAGCATATAGATGTGGAATTTTATATTTGAGACAAACCTGAAAAGAAATAATCCCCTCTGTCTTTTTAAGAAGTGAGGGCCAGGGAGATGGCTGAGTAGAATAAGCGCTTGAGGGTCTGAGTGAGTTCAATCCCCTGTTCCACCAAAAAAAAAAAAAAAAGTGATTTAAATCTGACTGAACCTGTCTGTAAAACAAAAAGGAAGTAAATTACTCCCACAGCAGATTAACTGAAATACAGTATTTATCTTCATTTCCTTTGTTTTCTAGGAGCAGGCTGCCCCCTGGGGCACACAGTATGCCAGCAAGAAGGCTTTTTAAGGCATTTGGCATTAACTACAAACTTCATTAGATTCCTCTGGGCTTGAGTGCACCACCCTGAACTGAGGAATTTTCAGGACCACTGGTACTGATTCCGTGAAAACGCAGCAGGCTCTATACAGACTTGCTTAACTCTGAATGTCACTCTTCTTTATGAAGCCCTGGGACAATAGATTATTTTCTTTAAAAAAAAAACAGGTTTCAGGGAGCAAACCTTGACTTTGCTTTGTTTTTTTTTAACAGAATATTAGAAGTTGCAAGATGTTCTCAACTAACAGATGTGGGTTTTACCACTTTGGCCAGGGTAAGTGTCTTCTCCAGGCTCCACAGGCTTCGTGCTGGGGGTTGCTTCAGAGGAATGAGCAGCAAGTAGATGGTGGCACGGCCGCCGGGGCCGGGCGGGAGCACTCCTGACGGCCAAGGCAGGCCTGCTGGTGCCAGGCGTGGGGTACGTGCTGCAAGCCCAGACTCTGGGGGCAGAAGCAGGAGGGTTGCAAGTTCAGGTGTAGCCTGGGTGATTTAGAAAGAGCCTATCTTGGGCCGGAAAGATAGCTCAGTAGAATAAGCACTCGCCTGGCTAGCGCAAGGGCCTGAGTTCAATCCCCAGTTCGGGGGGGAGGGGGGGCTATCTCAAGGGTTTTTTTGGTTGTTTTGTTGTTGTTGTTGTTTTTAATTTTATTTTATTTATGTGTGTGTGTGTGTGTGTGTGTGTGTG